AAAAAAAAAAAAAAAAAGAAAAAAAAGAAATGCAAGACTTGATGTTCTGTGATGACTCCAGAAGCATGGAGGGAGCATTTGGTTCCTGCTGAGTAGGTGAAGGGAAGACAAGCCAGCAGGTGAGTGTTTCTGTCCTGTTCTCAGGGAGCAGTCAGCCTCTGTGCAGCAGCGGATCAGAGCCACCTGGTGAATCCTGTTGCTAAAGTGCTTATGTCAGCAGAGCTGCTCCTAATGGAACAAGACAGCTGAGGTTGGGGGACTAGGGTCCAGGCAGCTAATGGGTTTGTGCTCTGATGACTGCCTCTGATCTCATCTGCCGTTGTTCTTAGCCCACACAAACCCCCACCCAGCCGGAGAGATGGACAGAGAAGAAAACATCAGCCTATCTGTCCCAGCCGCTCCCTCCCATCTGGACTCATGAAGAGGAGGTGTGCTGGAGAGCGGCTGCTGGCCACGACTGGGGAGAAAGTGTCCAAAGCATGTCTGCTCCTCCAGGGGCTCCTGGCCAAGGAGGTGGGGCGGGAAGCTGCTAAGGGTGGTGAGGACTGAGGATCTTCTGCCACCAATGAAAACAATGTGGTGAAGGAGGAATGATAACCTGGGATCCAGAAGGCTGGGGTTCTATCTCCATGTGCATGTTCTGACTCCTTAATGAGATTGTGCATTTTTGAGGAGTGAAATACATGCCTTGTAGGTTTTATGTCTCCCTTCCCAGTGCCTACAACGTTGCTCTATACCCATGGGCACTCAGAAATATTGCTGATTGGATGACTGACTCATATTTGTTCAACTCGTTTTCTTTGGTGAAGACAAAACACTTAGCAGCAGCTCCTTTGTAATTGCCGCAGGAGCACTGGGAGACCCCTGGGTGGGGTGGGGAGCTCATGCTAACTTGTGATGAGGGATGAGGAAAGGGATAATGCAGGTTCACTTATGCAGCCCTTCAAATCTACCAGCTCCCCACCATGTGCTGGGCCAGTGTCAGGGACTGGGGAGGCAAGACAGACACAGTCTCTGTCTCTACAGATCTTATGGTTTGATAAAAAGACTATAAAATATAGTCTGTTAGTTACAAACAAGCTCAAAAATATGATCTGGAGCTTTCTACCCAATTTTTGGAGCTACTGTAATGACCTGGGCATTTGGGTTATCATCTTCAGTGGGCACATGGAGATGATCATTACGCATATCCTTCTCTTCCGTTTTACTGTGAACTCCTTCTAGGTATATATTTCTATTTGCCTTTGTGCCCCAAAGCCTGGCACAGTGTATGGCATGGTGGGCACCTGGGAAATATCTATTGATTGACTAATGAATGGATTTGCATTTTTTTCCTCCTCTCTCTCAGAGTTTAAGTCTCTTGCCTGAGGGCCACCGCTTCTCTTGGAGCACTGCTGAATAGGCAGCCAGTAGTTGATTAAAAATTTAAAAATGCACAGCTGACATTGGTTTAGTTGCGCAATTCAGCATGGATTTCAAGCTCAAATAAAACCCATGAGTAAATGAATAAAAGCAGAGTGACACTGATGGAAAGGTGTTGCAATTTTAGCTTTTAGCTTCTAGAAATTATTTTGTTCCTCCTGTAAATTCATATCACAGGTAGGCAGTTTCAGATACTCTGTACGTGGAAACTACTTCTTGAAATAGAACTTGTTTTCCAGTAGGCCCTCGTTGCTTTAGGCCTTGGGGATTGGGTTTACTCTGGCTCTGTGCTTTATCGTATTTTTTTTCTCTTGCAGCTAAATGTGGTCAACAGTGTCAGCAATTCAGAGGATATCAAGCCCTTACCAGGGCTTCCTGGGATTGGAAACATGAACTACCCATCCGCCAGCCCTGGATCTCTGGTTAAGCACATCTGTGCCATCTGTGGGGACAGATCCTCAGGTACACACAGAGGCAGACAGCCCTCCCAAGTGTCCCATGGGACAGGGTTCCGGAGAAGGGGTTTACTTCAAGGCCCACCTGGATATTTCGTTCCCAGTGAAAGAAAGTGGCCCTTTAGGATAATGCAGCTGGGGGCTCAGACTGTAAACTTCTGCCCCTGTGTTCACAGCCTGCATTCTTGATGAATATAAAGTATGATTTTATTTCTGAGGATTAAGTGACAGGAAATGTTTCAGAAGCACCTCTCTGGAGTTACACTGCCGCATGTGTATCTGGGACGGAGAAGCTGTTGTGATTATCAAGTATCTCAAGCTAGATTTTACTTAATTAAAAAAATCATAATTGCAAAAGGCCCCAAGTAAATAATTACTAAAATAATGTTCCAGTGACAGGAAATGTTTCAGAAGCACCTCTCTGGAGTTACACTGCTGCATGTGTATCTGGGACGGAGAAGCTGTTGTGATTATCAAGTATCTCAAGCTAGATTTTCCTTAATTAAAAAAATCATAATTGCAAAAGGCCCCAAGTAAATAATTACTAAAATAATGTTCCAATGTAGGAAATTTGGAATAACTAGAAAAGTACAAAGGAAAAGTAAAAAAAATTACCCATAATGTTCCCAAGAAAGATAAACCCTTTAATATTTTAGCACATTTCCTCTTACAACATTCTACATTTTAAACATGTTTTTCTGGGCAGAAACAAATGTGTTTTCATTGATTTATCTTCTTGAATCATCTTCCACTTTCACCAGAGTTCATTCTTTCCTGATTTCTTTCCCTTCGTCTCCATCCTTCCCGCCCCTAACCCCCCTCCCGCCAATTCTGAACTCATTTGAAACTCACATTTCATGATTTGAAGAATAAGCAGATGGGAAGGTTTTTTTCTTTTTTATAGCTGTCCATGGTGGCTGACTGAATATTTGCTCATCCTCTTATTGTCACCAAAGCCACTACGGAATGTCACTCTATTGGAAGTTCCAGGTGCCTGGGACTTATTTAGCTATATGGCCGATGGTTGCTTGCTCTCAAAAAGTCATTTCCAAATCACGCAGACTTAGCCATTGCCATAACAGAATGCCAGCCACTCCCTGACAGAGCATTTTCTCTGCTGTGGTTATTTTAGGTGGAAGTCCAGAGGTTCATTCATATATTGAAAAGTCAGGGGAATGATTATGTCATACATTTGACAAATTGCTCCCATATTTCTTGAAGACAAATATTTCAGAGCCGAGAGCATTAGGTTCTTTGGACCCAAGATGAAATGGTATATTTATTGTTGCTGTGAGTTCAGTATATTAGTATGATCCACTAACTGGGCACAGACTGAGTTTTCATCAGGCATGCTGTATCTAGCCTCCATTTCATCTTAGTTAGGGTGGCTTCCTCTGAAATGTATGCTCCTGGGGTGCAGATATTTACAGTTGCTAGTCCTCAGGGACTTCACATTTATTTTAATATCAACTTAAATAAAATATAATTAGAAAATCATGTCAGGTCTGTAGCTAAATGGCATCACATGTTGCATTCAAGAATCAGACATAAATATGTTTTAAATGATCTGCTTTCTTATATTTTTCAATTTCCGTGATTCCAATTAGTGGAGCATAGCTGCCTGGTGAGTAGCATTGAGAAGACTTCTACTTAGAGTGTTGAGATTGATTCATGATGCCTGTGCAGCGTGGTGGCTCTCCTGGCACAAATTAGCCATCCCCGCCTGGGGTAATTGAAAACCAAATGTGTGGAGGAGGTAATAAGGGCAATGAAATATGCAACAGATTATTCTGGATCAAGCAAAATCACTTTCTACCAGATCATTATGTCATATCTCAAGATTGAGTGTCATATTATGCTATAAAGATTATATACTAATTTATTTTCTCAATAGGCAATAGAACTTAAAAAAATTATAACTCAGTATTCTGTTCACAGTTTATGATAAAGAGTAATAATTGTAAGTGGGTTTGCTAAGACCTCGGGCTTCAGTTACGAACTAGTGAAGCTGAGGTTCTTTTCCTGCTAGGTAATATAGGACAAGCATACATATTTTTTATTTATTATGTACACTAATGTCTTGAACTGAGGCAGAACATTTGCTTAACTAAACCCAAAAGTTGCCTTGATAAAATAAATGTAAAGAAAATCTTAGGTCAAGAATTTTCTAATAATGCTATCTGGAGTTATACAGAGGGAAGACACCAGGAAAGGTGTATTTACTCTCTCAGTTTGGTTCCTGTGATCAAGCCTGCATTCTCTGTTAGTCATTATTTGTTTTATGTCCCAGTACCCAGGTGATGTGCCAATTTCGCTGGGGGGAGAGCCAAGGAGCTCTTTTGAATAAAAGATCCCAATGAACACAAGAAAAACCTATGCAATGCTCTTTTCTTGTAACCAGGAAAGCACTACGGGGTGTATAGTTGTGAAGGCTGCAAAGGGTTCTTCAAGAGAACCATAAGGAAAGACCTCATCTACACATGTCGGGATAATAAAGACTGCCTCATTGACAAGCGTCAGCGCAACCGCTGCCAGTACTGTCGCTATCAGAAGTGCCTTGTCATGGGCATGAAGAGGGAAGGTGAGGCTCCCCTGCTACCCCCTCCACTCAAGGGAGAGCAGTTGGCATCTAAATAGCCACGGGAGACAGGTGCATGGGAAAGAGCCCTGCTAGGATGGACCATGTGGGAAGGAGAAGTCTGAAGTGGAGGTCAGCATGACTCTGGGTACTGTGATTTCTCAAGCATTGCAATTGATGCCCCCTCACCCTACAAAATGTGTATCTCCAGAGCAAAGAGGGCAAGTGGTATCTTTCCCCTCCGCCTTCACGCTTCCTCTCCTGGAGTCCAAATGGTGGTCTCCAAACTGGCTCCTCTCCCTCTTTCTTCCAATAGCCAGACAGCGGGTCTCAGAGGTGAGTTTCAGGGTCCTTCTGCTCTGCCCAAGCCGTGGAACGTCACATTGACCTTCAGAGGGAGCCGACCTCAACCCTCCCATCCTAGGTCTCACTCTGGGGAAATCTGCAGGTTTGATTTCACTTGCTGGGCTTTTATAATTTTGGTCTGCTGTAAATCCTCTGATATAGTTATATGCCATGGTCTCTTGGCATGATTGGCATTACACAAGTCTGACAGACCTAGCCTTCTTATTCAGAGAGATTGTCGCTGTGCATTCAAACTGTTACATCTTTTAATTTATAGTGTGGGTTAGCTGGGCTATTTTAGTATCAGAGGAAAAGAAAATTGAAAGTGCTTTCAGTTCCTTCAAAAGATCAGAAAGTCTTTCCATTAAGTAACACAAATAAATTGCAGTGGACAGTTCATTAACTAGTGAGCTCAGGCAGGTACATGGTGTTAGTGGTGAATCTTAATAGATTTTAGAGTGAGGTAGTCCTGTCCCTCGCTAGGAAATAGGAACAAGGAGTTTAGTCAGTCCCAGTGGGCTCCTCTTTCTTGAGGAACTTCTTTTCTGTGAGGAGGGGGAGTCTAACTGAATGAACCGATGAAGAAAAAGGTTCTTTAAGGCCCTGCTAAGAAGGAACGCTTCCATCACCACCAACAAAAAAGATATTCTTGGAATCTTCACATGTCAAGATAGAGGTGACCCTTCAGAATCACCAGATCAGCTATAACCATTAGACAGATGAAGAAACAGGCTTAGAGAGGTGACGTGGGTTTTCCAAGGTTCCCCAGGTGGGCGATGAGCAGACACCAGGTCTGTGACTCCCAGATCAGTGCTCATCTGACATCTAACAGGAATCTCAAAATTGTCAGACTCGAGTCTGAGCTCCTGATAACCTGCTCCCCACCACCCTGTCTTCCCTGGCTCAGGAAATGGCTTCCTACAGACCCAAATCTTTGACTTTCCTCTTTCAGATTCCACACGCAATGGGTGAGAAACTCTTGTGTCTCTCTCAAAATATGTGCAGGATTTTTCTGTTTCTCACTTCTTTTGCTACTACGACCCTAATCCAAGCCACTTGTATCTCTTGTAATAATCCCATAGTGTCCCGAGATGTTGCCCTGCTTCCAGCCTTGTCCTTCCACAGCCTCTTCTCTGCAGAGCAGCCAGAATGAAGCTTTGAACAAGTGGGTCAAATCAAGACATTCCTCCACCCAAATCCTCCAGTGCCTTCCCTTCTCCCTCAGAGAAGAGGCAAAACCCTTGTTACGACTTCAAAGTTGTCCATGGTCTGGATGCCCTGTTCAGCCTCCCTGGCCTCTTTGCTCGTCCTTAAGCACACCGGGGATGCTGCCATGCTGGGGCTTTTGCACGTGCCGTCTGACTGCCCACAAGGCTTTCTTCCCAGGGATCTGCAGGGCTCGCTTCTTGTCCTTCAGCTCTTTATGCAGTTGTAACCTTCTCGGTGAAGCCTTGCCTGGCTATGCTGTCTAAAATTGCATCAACCATCCCCGACACCTCCTTATCTCCTTTCCACAGGATTTATCACTATCTGACACACTTATTTATTGTGTTTACTGTTTGTCTTCATGAAGGCAAGTGTTTTGTCTGCTTTTTTTTTAAATGCTGTATCACCAGGGACTAGCCCATTATAGGCAGTTATAAATTGTTGAATGAATGGTTTCAACTGAATGCTGAAATCAAAAGTGACATGTGAATTGTAAGGGACCGGGCAGTCCTTTTTTTAAACCTAGAATTGTTCTGATACTTCAATAGCAAAGTGGATGCAGTTTTTGCTCCTGCATTTTTAAACAAAATGTAAAGAAATAGGAGTGATGAAAAGATGGGTAGTGAAAATTAGGAAGGGGGAAAGATCTCGGAGAAATTTCTAAACAACTTGAGAACCATTTACCCTGACAAAGAGAAGGCAAAGAAGTAAATCAGTCCCTTACCTCCCTACGTGAAGAGCCATTTGAAAGGCTACTGAACAGCCTTTCCTTCACCACCATCATTTCTAGCCTTGATTTACAGAATGTGGGGCTCAGTTTGAACATCTTCTTGAGGATGAGAATAATAAAATCGTGGAACAGATAACCGAGAGAAACTACAGAAATTACACAGATAGAAAGAGATGGAATTGGGGTGGGCTTAGAATTCACCAGCATGGGACCAAGGGCCAGAACCTGTTGCCCTAGTAGGATACATAATGTTAAAGCTGGAATGGATATTTGCTCTTCTCTGATGTAACACAGCCATTTCCTGAAAGAAGAAACAGGTTCAGAGAGGCTAGGGACCTGACCAAGCTTATGCAGCAAGAAAATGGCAGACCTGGTATAGGACTGGGACTGTCTGCCTCCCAGGCCTCCGTGGGAATTCTGGGGAAGTCTATTTCCATGATCTGTGGCCATTTACACGTAGTAGTCTCTCAAGACTAGAGAATGGATCCTCTTTGAGGCCATTTGTGGGCAGCACTCACATCCTCGTGCGTCCTGTGTGGTCTTTATTAACACAACCAGGCCGGTGCCTTGGAGGTGATACAGAGGGGATAGAGATGGGCACAGGAGGCAGCCAGCCTGGGTCCACGTGTTGGATCTACTTCCTAGCTCTGTGACCTCAAGCAGGTTACCTAGCTTCTCTGTGGCTCATAGTACCTCAAAGGGTTGTTGTGAGAATTAAATATAATCTATATAAAGTGTTGAGCATAATTCCTGGCACAGAGAGAGCTCCAGAAATTGTTGCTATTGCAGTAAATGCACAATAAATATAAGTTGGATAAATGAATAAAGTCCTGTTGTAAGGGAGGGGTTTGGTACCATTTTAGATCGTCCAGCATTCCCTGGAAGTACCCTGATGTAGGTAGTAGCAGTAGCTCAGAATGTCTGCTATCCTCCAGTAACAGATACATGACCCTCATTTGCGACAGTTAGATTTATGGAACAAAAAGGAAAAGCGAACAGCAAAAGGCTGCTCAATTAATGGCAAAACCAGAATTAGAATCTAATTCCCTGAAGCCAAGGTTATCTTCTTTGAAGCTTGAAGGTTATTTTCCTGGAGTGTTACAAGTCTGTGGAAGAAATTGAGGAGCACAAAAGGCACTTAACTGAGTTTTCTTTCCCCCATCCTTTAAAATCAAGACAAATAGAAGCCCACTAACCTACCTTTAAAAATTAATAGAAGGGGCCGGCCCGGTGGCGCACTGGAGAGTGCGCCGCTTGGGAGTGCGGCGGCGCTCCCGCCGAGGGTTCGGATCCCATGTGGAGACCGGTTCCC